CTGATAAAAAGCAGAAGCTGCTAATACACTCACTTCAAATGCCCGCTCTCATCTACTTGAACACAATAAATTATGTGTTAATTAACCTGATTTGCTGTTATTTGTGAACTAGATCACTGCAGCAAGGGGCACAAGATAATCTTGAAATTAAAGAAGACATTTGCACTGAATACAAGTGAAAGACTATGGACAGAACCATAGGAAGTCAAGCCAAGAGTTCTTGACATGCTGACTCTGAAGTAACACAAAGACCAATGTCAGAGGCAGATGAAGTCACAGATTTGACTAGAGAAAAAGAGCATAATGGGAAATTAGATAGCCTGTATCAGCTCACAAACATGCAAGTGTAATAGAATGAATCATCAGGATGTTAATAGATTCTTAGTCCATCCTCCCCAGAACTTATTTTTAATAAAGCTGGCTTGAATCATGCTCATTAATTTTACAAAGTTTATAGTGTAATTGACAGTTTGCTTCTTCAGAGGACTGGTTACACAGAGCAAGTTACAATAGCATGATATGTTCTTCAAAAAAAGTAACAAAGGAAAAACAGAAATACTATAAGGCAAAAGCTTTTGACTTCTGTTACAGAGCAAATACTTAATAAACAGAAAATTATTTTATGAATTCTCTCTACAAAATCACTTTTGAAATGACTCTTGAAGACTACTGTCACGGGTTTAAAAGTGAAGACACCTTTTGAGATCTAGCAATACAAGGTCCCATTTGCAATTTTTTATTTTTAAAAACATTGGGTGGCATGATTTAAATCCAGATAGTTTGAAACACAATTTAAAATTAACAAAAATTAATTTAAATAAGTTTTCCAGTTTGTAATTCAGGCATTTTCTGAGCAAGCATACATGCCAATTCTTGATTAAAATTAACACTTATCAGCTTACAACTAAGAACCACAATATACAAGACAGCAACCAAAACCTCTGGACATGTAAGTCTGCATCCTAATTACAGGGTTCCCTCCCCCCCACCCCACCACTTTTGGGTATATCCAGTTGCACCTCTTAGGTTGCTCTTTAAGGTCAAAATACAAAAAGTGGCACTGAAGATTGCAGCTGTGAGCAGGAGTAGAATTAGCAACACAAATACCCTTTCTGCACACAATAGAATTCTCATTTGTCACACAAGGGATTATCCAAGTTGTAGTCCACATGACTCTGTATTATTTATTTGGAGCATTTCTATTCCATCCTTTATAAAAAGTCTCAGGACAGCAATTCAGAATGATACAGTGGCAACATTCAAAAGTAGAATATAAATATCTAATAAAACCAATATTAAAACCATAATTAATCCTTAAAATACAGGGAAAATAAAAGGACTTTGGCCTGGCATAAAAATGAATAAAGTGTCAGCATCAGGCACTCTGAGAAGCAGGTTCCAGAGCCAGGGTGCTACCTCAGAAAAGGCCCTCCTCCAGGTAGCCACTTTCCTGATATCCTTCAAAGAGGGCTCCCAAAGAAGGACCTCTAACAAGAATCTTAGGGGACAAGCAGGTGTATTTGGAAGCAGATGCTCCTTCAGATTCCCAGGCCCTAAACCATTTAAGGCTTTATACATCATCATTAGCACCTGAAATTGTACCCAGACTTCAATTAGTAGCCAGTGCAGACAATACAGGACCGGTGTTATGAGAGCATATCTGCCAGTCCCCATCAAAAGACTGGCTGCTCATAGTTATGCGATAGTTCTGGGAGTAATAGATTCCTCTTTGCCTTACTGTACACAGCACCACTTAAGAACTAAATGCTGAGAACTTTTCAAAAGCAAATGCTGTTAATTGGAAGGACAAGAACCCATTATAACGTAAAACTGATTCAGGGGAAGGAGGTTTAACTGTTCTGCTTCTGAAATCATGAGACATAACTGATTTACTTTATTTTGATTGTATCTTAAGATGCCTATGCTATTTTGTTGGCTGCCACATCACCTATTGTGTTATACTCTGAACACAAAAGTCAGTATGTCCTCATGGCGCTTTTACACTCCAGATGTCAACTCAATTACAAGGTTCACACAACACAATGGCCCACAAAGTTTTATCTACAAGGCCTCTTTTGTGGTGCCAGGTAAAAGAGATATTTATAGGAAATTCGCATATTTTGAAGACAAAATAATTCAAAAAAATAAGGCCCATTCTACTTAAAAACATTGAAGATGACCTATTACAAAATTTATACTATACTATATAATAGGAATAAATCCAACATTCTGTTTTAACTACAGAGTTTAACATATGCAGTACGCTTATATTCCTGAACTCCATAGCTGACTGCCAGAAACATGAACTTGTAGTGTTCAGAAGCACCAGCCATATACCCACTCTAACTTTGGAAGAGGAAACTTCAATTATGAACTAGTTATCACTAGCAAGAATTGCACAGTAATGTCACTGAAGCCTTGCAACAACTTGCAAATCAGAAAAGAATTCTCTATAAGCTTTTTCAAATGTTAGGAACAAGAGCTTGATTAACTTTATGTAAATGTATTCCCATTATGATCATGACCAAGCAGGAAATGTTAATTAAGATGCAAGCAACTCCCCAAAAGTTACTCATTGGGATTTGGATATAACTATGACCTATGATACGACCTGGTAGCACCAACAAAAGCAAAGTTTGAAATATAGATTGCATGGTAATGTTGTGATGCAAACTCTGATGACGTAATTGAATACTTGACACTTTTGTAACTTGAAAATTTATAATAAATGTTGAGTCTCAAGTGGGGAAGAGAAAATACTGCAGCGTGGCATTCAGAGTTTCAGCCAGCTATGATACTCCATTCTATTTCCCTCCCCTCACTTCCTACTCACCCAAGAGTCTCTGTATTCCATGCTCATTCTTCATTAAACTGGTTTGAGTTCCCCATCCCAGGACTTTTTTTCTAAGGAAAGTTCATGTTTGTACAAATGATGGAATTCCCTACGAGCCTGCTACTTTCCTTTATGCATGTACAAAATGCCATTTTGGTCCTCTAAGAATCACTGTCTGGATAATGGATCTACTACCAGCACATTAAAACTGCAAATAAATCAGTAATTTTACTGTACACTTTTAAAACATAACCTGCCCAGGGAGCCTTATGGTTAATGGAACAGGATAAAAGTCAAATAAATAAATAAATTTGATTATACAAGCAAGGTAACATGGTATCAAGTCCATTTAAAATGAGTGCTTATCAAAAGTGCTGTAATGGTGAAAGATAATTTGTATTTGAGAAGTCTACATTACCTATAGATTTCAAATGACAGAAGACAGATGGCAGTCCCTCAGAGGAACTCAAGTTCCAAAGCCACATAAAAATTCTAAGCAAATGATAAACACAAATACTTCCAACATAATAAAAACTATTGTAACAACTGGCAAAACCGATAAAGCATTTTAATGTGTGCATTTAAACTGCAGTAGATTCACTACAGTGATGTTAAATAATTACTGAATGTCTGATCTGGAGTATAAAAAGAAGACTGTTTTGTTTAAACATCACGAAGAGCCACAACTTCTGTTATTGCTATAATTTTGCAGTTAAGGGAACGAATCTGAATGCATGATGATCTGATACTGCAATGTAGGACTACTGTGAACAAATGCATCAGTTGCCTTCTCAACATGAAACTAAGCCACCCTCCCCTATAAGTTAGGAAGAAAGGGGGTTCTTCTCTCACAATGATATGAGTTTCCTACAAGAATCAGATAGCCAAATGTTCTAACCCTAAAATTTCTCCTTTTTTGATGGGATCACTGTTTACAAGAATTCTAGTAAGCATTCCAGGTACTCAATTAACATGAAATCTTGACCTCATCAAGTTGAAAAAGTGGTTGCATTACTATCCTTAGTACCTAGTAATTTGGTGTTGCTGAGGAGCATTATGCACAACACCATCATCAGCCAATGTTTTCTTTTGCCATGCAAAAATCAAATCTGCGAGATATCTTCATGTGCAAGTGTAGCTTTGAAGTTGTAGGATTCCAGAAAATTTAAACCTCTTTAGTTTCTACCATATTTACAAGCAAAGTTAGAATATTAAGAGGATCACAGAAACCCACAAGAGCTAACATGCTAGGTGTGGTATGTGGACCTTTAATGTGCCTGTATTGCAATTAAAGGCAGGCATGCTTCTCAGAGATAAGCACCTGAAATTCAAGAAACAAAGGCTGGGCCTCTTTTATATGGTAACTTTATCCATAGTTGCCATATGTTAGATCTTTCATTTATTAAGATATCTGCAAATATGTCTTCTATAAACATTTTCCAAGGTGAAAAAAGTATTGGTCTGTTCACAGCAACTAAGAGGATCGGTCGCAGTCAATTCCACTATGAGGTCAACCTTATAAGGATGAAAGAGTAATTATATAGGAACAGTTAAAACCCTAGATTCTGGGCCAAGCCTCCATTTATTCTTGCAAGGTTGTTTGTAATGTAACAAAGTGCACAACTACACATTACAAAGAAAAGCTTTTAATAAAAAGCAGATGGTACATAAAGAAAAGACATAAAAATCTGACAAGTTCAGCACTGAGCAGGACTAAATGTACCAGTACCACTTCTCAACTGTGAACATGACACCAGTCTTTGAGACAGGTATTTGTCACAGATTTCAACAAAATATTTAATATTATTTTATACATCCAGTGTAAATTTTACAGAGGGTCCCAGAAGATCGTACCAGTCTTGAACAAAAGGGAGTGTTTCTTTATGAGGCTAAAGAAACAGAGGCTAACAGTACTGTTATGTGTTTTCTTGATATACATAAGCAAAAGAAAGTTGGGTATAGTCTCTTTCCCACAAAAAGGTACTCATTTTTTAGGAAAACTGGGTACATTTCAGTCACAGTAACAAAGCAAAAGGGCGGGGTACTTGTCTATTCTTCACTGACACTGCAAAACACATAAAATCGGTTGATACTTGTACAAACTGGGCACTACTCCAGAATGCAACCTTCAGCACCTTATCCATTACTAACATAACATTATACCAACCTTCTTTGTACAAGTTTTGCTGCTGCTGCATTTTCTTCATATTAAGCAGTACATTTGCTGCTAATAAAACACAGAAATATAATAGTCACATTATGCAATCTATATCATTTTTTAAAAACTTTATCATTAAAGTAGCAATAGATTTTTTACCTTCCCAAGATAGCTGGGAGCTTCTTTTACCATAAATCTTAATGCAATCATATAAATATTATGACAGGCTTTTTAGCATTATCAATAGAGCTGTGGTAATATACTTGCTATTTTCCTTGGAAGAGGTTCCATTACTTTAAAGTATATTGTGAACTAGTGTTTTCCCTTGGGACCCTCAGTGAATTAAAGGCAAGGTTTTAGCATTGATGTTACCAGCTCAGCTGAATTCTGCTGCCAAAAATATTCAGCTAAGAGTTGTAGAAATGTTTGGCGGTATTACCAGATGCTTGCTATTCTATATTACAAACCCACAGACATGCAGGGAATCCCTTGTAAAGGCATTATAGTAAATAATGCAGGCAAGCCATTTAATAGTCAACAGGGGCTGATTTTCATAGACTTAGATGGTATCATCTGATTGATGATATCCATTCCCACAACATTATCTTTTTAAGAGAACAAATCAGTAATTATGCCCATGGTCAAATGATTAATAGGTTTTTATTAGTTTGAAGAGTCAGGTATAGTTAGAAATTCTCAATGGGGAGAATTTTAGTTCTTCAAAGTAGATCAGCCTACTTTGAAAATATTGATTGCTGCCTGGAATGTATGTTGCCAAGTGCTGTAATAAAAAACTGATTTAAACCGAATAAAGGAAACTAATGGCTAACAAGATAACAAAAATCTTAATTTGATTGGTTCAATTCCTTGTCAACTTAATTACATGGACATTTCTGGAAATGGAAATGAAAATGGAAGGAGTAGAGTGGTTAGTGTAGTGGTTAAGAGTCAGTGAGATGCATGGTTAAGAGTGTGGGACTGGGATCTGGATTGTAGTCCCCCCCACCCCCCAGCCATGGATCCAACTGGGTGACTTTGGGCCAGTCCGAAAATTTCAGCCCAACCTACATCACAGGGTTGTTGTTGTGGGGATAAGAATGAGAGCAGGAGGGAGAGAATAATGTAAGCTGCTTTGACTTCTTTAGAAAAGAAAAAGGTGGGATATTAATCTAATATCTAAAGTATTTTCAGAAATAAATAGAAGTTTAGAGCAAAAGTGAAATATAAGTAATGCATGATGGCTTTTTCATGCATGATGGAAGTTGTAGAGTTTTTTCTATCTAAACATGCATAGGACTGCACCCTAAAAACATAAAATACTATAATTTTAGCACATATAATACACCAGAATAATAGATATTATATAATATTTCAAAAACCTGCATATTAAAAGCATTAAAATACAATTACTTGAAGAAATGATATACAGAGCACTTTACTGTGGCCCAAGCACAGACCAAGTCAATCAAACATTCTACCCATTTCAGAAATGTTTTAAAATGTCCTATATTCCTTGAAAAAGAGCACTCTCAGAAAGTCAGCTAAACAACTAAAATGTGAGGACGCAAGTGGCATGTGCATGCATCATGTGAGGGCTCAGATACACACATGGGAGGCTACCTACTTTGGCAGGACTGACAGATTCCAGTGATGGGAGGTGTGCATGGCAGGCTGTCTATCCTGGCAGCACTGAGAGTTCAGACTCTGATAATGAGATGGTTGTTGAAATGGTCCCAGTCCTGGCTGCAGCCCAAGGTCCAGGGACCCCACCAGGGAAGATTAGTTCAAGGACAATTGACAGAAACAGTCAACCTGCCCATGGGAACAGAGAAGAGAAACAAAACTTTGAGGGAGGAGATTTGGAGGTGGGGACCCTATCAGGTGGGGAACCTCAGATCCCTGAGGTGGACCTGATAGTCCATCATTGCAATCATAGGATGGTTCAACTGGAATCTCAGCAGGAGGAACATAAGTGTACCCAATTCCACTGCGCTCCCTCCACAGGGACCAACACAAAAGAATTCTGTTTTGTTTTGTTGTAAACCATCCCAAGACGTCTAAGTACGGGATGGCACAGAAAAGTTTTAAATAAATAAAGTTTGGGGTAAAGGATGTCAGAGAGTGTTCAACATTTTCCTCTGCATATGTTCAGAGATTGAATATAACTAAGGCTTTTACTAAAGAAATGCTGGTGAGACTGACTTTTCTTGGAGGGAAAAGGAAGTCTCATGACAAGTGAAAGAGGACTTACCTACTTTCAAGAGTGAGGTTCCAGGCAATCCAAATGTTTAAATTGATCACACCAGGATTTTGACAACCATATTATTGTGCAATGCCTCAAGTTGTCTAAACATGCAGATTTATTAATGCAACACACACAAAAGGGATACCCCTTTTTCCAATGGCGGCAGAAGCCCACCAAGAACAGCAGCATCCCCAACTTCTTCAGCCTTCTTTACATGGCTCCATTCTCAACAACACCCCAAAGACTCAAGGAACTGAAGACTCAGCATGGGCAAAGACATGCCTCTCATTTATTTGTTGTTATATGCTGTCAAATTTGTCTCCAATTTATGGCGACCTTATAAAAGAGTTCCCTCCAGGATGCCCTGCTCATCAGTCGTGCTCAGCTTTTGTAAATTCAAAGCAGTCACACTTGATTAGCTCACATATAATACAAACTCATGGTTTATTTTACCCATGGTTAGTCTATGTCTGTTGCCCCACCCTGAGTTTGTCTAGCAGACAATTCAATAAAGCATGCCTCATTTTCTTATTCCCAGTATTGCTCATTTCCTTCCTTCTTCACCCTGACCTGACGCACTGTCATGCACAAGTGGAAGAGAGCAGATGTACTGTCTGCAGAGCACCTGACTCTCCCATTTTTACTCAAAAACCCACAATCAGTTCTATAACACATGGATGCTTCCTGCTTGCATATCATCTGGGCCCAAACTGCTAAGTTTGGACATCTTGGTCAGCAGGAACCAATCATGGTTTGCTGAGTAAAAAGTTGATGAGGTACCTATGCTCTCTCTGTATTTTCCCTAACAATCTATTGTTTTTTAAACCAATAGATTTTAACATACAAATAGCCACATGTGTATCCCAAAAGCTTTTGTGATACTATATTAGTTGCATATAGAATGGCTGGGTTTTTACCACACTCTTTCTTACCACATCTATAGCCTACAACCTCAAACAAGTCAGAGCTTACATAAGCCAGAGCTTACAGTCCATAACAATGAATTCCCTCCCTGGTTGTTCACTTTTAACAAGCCATGTTTTGTTAGTACAACTGGGTTTGCAACCCAGAATTTAACATCCCATGTATTAAATAAACCATATATTAGTATTATGACCGAATCAGGCAAAAGAAATGCACAGGCAGGTTGTTCCAACCTTCTACAGAAAATATTACAGAAACAGTCCCTGGCTTCTGTGCTAGTCCATAATTCAAGAACAATCCTCACCTCTAGGAGGTCTGCTTGTTATCTTGCTTGAAATCCTTTAGGAAGCAGGTAAAATTTCACTCCAGTCACCCTTTGAGGAGTTAAGCATTTGGAATATACTCTATAGCTTCTGCTGGTCCTTATGTCTTAAATCCAAGTTTAACCTGCTTTGATCAATAATCGTTCTGCAATTTACAAAAGTAAACCACCTTGAAGACATTAACTTGAATGCCTATAAATTTCATAAAACAAACAAAGCTGCAGCAACTGAAGAATATAGCCTTTGTTGCCTACATCCACGTCAAGGTACTCTGGTACTTATGTATCTTACAGTAGTGCCTCTACATAAGAGCTTCCCTAATCAAATTAGGGAGAATGCTAGAATAGCACAGTATAAGCAACATTTTAAAATACAAATACGCCTCTATGTTGGCTTGTTTAGTTCTAAGACATTCCAAAGACATAAACATTTAGATTGGCCATATTCATACAGTTGTGAAACCTAAAGAACTTACAGCAGTGCAGCTTTTGGTCTCTTTTATTTTGCCTGTGCATCAAAACCAAGGTATTCTGAGGTCAAGGCAAAATTATTCAGTAAGCACAAGAATGTTCTGGACAAAAGAAAATTTCCTACAAGGACCTGTACTATTTGCAGCCGGTTTCTTAAACATTCTCTGTTGCCTTTAAGTAAGAGCTTGAGGCTCAGTTGTTCACTAGTCATTCAATCTGTTTGTGTTTGAAATAATGTAATGATTTTAAGTGCTCAAGAAAACCAATTTTCTTGTAATGCAATGCACACATTAGAACATCTTCAGAATTACTATTACTACTAATGAATGACCAAATACATTTGCCATCCAAAACCATACAGCACTCAGCAGCACACTTTTACAGGTCAATGGGTTTTGTATAGAGTGACTGCTAAGAACTACTTTGAAGTACCTTCTCAAGTATGCCTGTCTGAGTCAATATGTTTCTTGCAAAAATATGCTGTCAGGCAATAAAATAAAGCAGACCTTTAGGCAAGGCTATTTATTTTCCCAGGTGCTGTACACAGTTTCAGTTCCTTTTGTGAGCTTCTGATGCTACTTGAAAATTGAAGAACAGTTTAAAACATGATAATTAACTTCATTGTGGTGCTCTGATTTCAGATTAATACACAAACTAAATGCATTCTGCTCCAAAATAGAACGTTTCATGTACACAAACATGTAATTTTACAATATACAACAGGGCAACTACTGACCTTAAAACTTCAACTCTAACAAAATCACAAATTTCCATAAGGAAAATATGTTCAAGTAGAAAAACTTACAATTGTGATGTAAGTCAGTCATCTGAGAGGGAAAGATGATTTCACAAAGCAGTGGACTGCCCCATTACCTTACATACCAGAGAGGAGAAAGGCACCTGATATACAGAGGACCTGGGTTCCCAGATACGATTGTACCTCCTCTCCTTTCTTCCCCCCATCCCACAACCACACCCCTCACCTCTCCAATACAAGCATTCTAAGTATATGTAGACAATATAGCCTCCATAGCTCTTGCTTACAACTCCAGGGATACTCGTAAATTGATTTTTATCTGTGCACAACCCATCAATATTTTTCAAAAG